TCTCTCTCTCTCTCTCTCTCTCTCTCTCTCTCTCTCTCTCTCTCTCTCTCTTTCTTTCTTTCTTTTTTGAGACAGCTTTTCTCTGTATAGCCCTGCTTGTCCTATAATTGCTCTGTAGACCAGGCTGGCCTGAAAGAACTGCACAGATATCTACCTGCCTCAGCCTCCTAGTGGTGGGATTAAAGATGTGCACTGCCACTGCCTGGCAATTTTGACAGTTTGACTCTGATGTGTCTATCATTCTGATATATCATGAGTCTTGTTGAGCTTTATCAATATACAGATGAATTTTTTCCATCATGATTCTAAACATCTCATTTTTTATATTTTTACAAATATTCACTTTCCTCTCTCTATTTTTTACAACCTCTTTTCTTTCATTGGTACTATGTTTATTACTGTAACCTTTTTAGATTTGATGTTGATCTGACCCACCCATGGAGGGAATGAACAAAGGACAGACAGACAGACAGACAGACACAGACACCCCGGGATCAGGTGGGCTATGCACTCTAATGGAGAATCAATAATAGCAGCAGCCCAGAAACTCAGCATGTTCATTTTATCATCTGAATTTAGGAGCTTAATTTATTTTTTGCGAGTGAGGAGGTAGGTTTCCGCTAATCTCAGTAGAAGGTCTAAGGTGTAGCAGTATAGGGCAGAGCAGTTTCAGTTTCAGGTTGCAGTCATCCTATAGGAGAAAGCTATGGTTGATAGTTTCTGAATTTGCTAGTCAGTCATTTGTAAGCCCTTGTACTTGGAACAGGGGAAGATTTTACCGTATCTTCTTGTTCTTGACACAGTATCATGTACCTAGAGACCCTCTTTTGCCTAATTTTTAATCATCTCTCTTAGCCATTTTGGGTATTCTCAAATATCTTGTCTTCAAGTTCATTGATTATTTCTTGTATCAGTACATACCTACTACTGAGCTCTTTGTAGTGAACTTTTAAAATGCTGTACTATCTATAATATTTCTTTAATCATTTCAGTCCTTGATGTTACCCTCTTTATGAAGAATTGCTATTACACTTTCTTTTATTCTTCAGACATTTTTTCAGTTCTTTCAGCATATTTATAATAGTTGACTCACCATAATTGTTTGGTAAGTCTAGCATTTCAATTTCCTCCCAGACATATTCTATTATGTACCTTTCTGGTGTGTTGAACACATTTTATTGTTTCTTTTTTTGTAAAATATCTTTATGCTGAAAACTTTGCATTGTAAATAGCATAGCTGTGTGAAATGCAGAAAATCAAATCACTCCAAGGTTAACAGTAGCTTTGATTATTGATATATTAGTGACTTCTAGGAAAATTCTGTATTGATAGTTTCTTTGTTGTATGTAGTCAATGACATCTCTCTCGGTTAATTTAGTATTCAGCAAATGGTTGGACAAAGGTTACCTTAAGTTTCTTGAATTAGTTATGTTAGAACATGGGCCTACCCATTCAATGGTCATTTCTAAGAGGCTGGATCCCATAGACTGAAGAGCTCATGCCTTGCTTCTTTGCATCTCACCGTGGAATAGTTAATCAATCTCTCTCTCTCTCTCTCTCTCTCTCTCTCTCTCTCTCTCTCTCTCTCTCGTGCTGTGGGTTTTACAAATCCTAAAGTGGATTGATTCTAACCAGTACCTGGCACATCCCAGATTCTTGTCATATAAGCAATGTTGAACCAAATTATTTCCTGCTGTTCCCTAAAAGCTTTTATAATGCTTTTGTCTTTTTTTTCCCCCCCTGGGACTTTCTCTGGATAGTTACTTGGTGATTTTCTCTAAAGACCTTTCTCTGGAGCCCACACCACTCTTTCCTAAATTTAATTAAAACATGTTTTATTATATGTGTATTAGAGTTTTTTCATGTGTGTATGTATGTCAGTACACCACTAACATTCCTGGAGAGTCTAGAAGAAGGTGTGAAATTCTGTAGACTCGGAGTTAGAGAAGGTTGTGAACCACCTTGTGGATTCTGGGAATAGAACCCTCTTCTTCTGGAAGAGTGGCTTAACTGTTGAACCAGCTTTCTAACTGATTGTCTCATTCACTTTTGTGCAGGCTCTCTCTCCGTCTTTTCTCTCTTATCCCCATTTCATATGAAATTCCTCTATAGGTTTTAAAATGGTTCTTTAGGAACCCAGCCATGTTTGTCTCTCCTATGTATTGTACAATTTTTCGTATAATTCTTTCTCTCCTGCCGCACACGGCAGCCCCAGTCTGCGCTCTATGCGCTAGATCCCAGTTCGCGAGCTTCGGGAAAGGGGCTGGAGGTAGCACAGACCTTCAAACACTGGTACCCAGAGCCCCTCTTTATTAACACCATGGAGGCTTAAATACACTGCAGTCAATGGCCAACAGGTGAAAATCCCATCCTCTGATCCTCTAAGTTAGGCACAGCTTCTAGTAACTTTAATTAGAAGGTGCTAGGAGGGAAGAGCAGCTGAAGTCCAGGACTCATTAGTCCCAACATCCAGCAGAAGGCCAGGACTCATTAGTCCCAACACTCCCATCTCAATGTCTGATTGTTGTCTAGAGACACTTTCCCTTATGTCATCTCTAGAGTTAAGGCTAATTATCAGTTTTCTTTCACTGACATTTCAGCGATTGTATTTGTAGTCATTGAACGCTGTCTTCGATATTCTTGCAAGTAGTTTACAACTTTTATTTTCAATTTCTCTTCACCAGATGCCTTAAATCAGCATCAGCCAGAGTTGAGGGATTTTAGCTTACTAAGAATTGTACCATAATGCAGATGTATGTGGCATTCTATGTAACCAGGAACATGCTGTTATGGCAAAAACAGAAAACAAGCAAACAAAAATGGCACAAAGACACCACCTCTCTCATATAGACGCCAAAGATGAAGCTGAGGGTCAGAATAAATTATTATATGCCGACTCAGGGAGATGTCTCATTAGGTCTAAACACACATACATAGGTATAGCATGTATGTTTCTAGCAATATTTCTGAACCATTCCATCATTGTTGGGTTTAGGCAGCTGTCTTCTGTGACTAAAAGACATGGAGAGTTGATATGACTATGTTTCTAACAGGAAATTCCTGTCTGCAGTCAATCATGTTTACAGAAGCAGATGCTTAGAGCAGAGGTCAGAACATTCTTCTTTTATAGGTGAATTGTAGGCAGCTGCTTCTCACCAGGTCACTTCCAGTAACCCTTTCTCAAGAGTGTCTCTGGCTTTGTTTCTCTCTTTTTATCCCTGCTTAAATATACTTCCTCCTTCACTGTCAGAGCTTTGTAAACACTGTATGAATATCTTAGTTATTTAGTTGTTTTCTAATAGCTTCTTTAAACATTAAATGACATGGGAACTCATGTTCTTGTGATACTCAGTTCTCTGTCTCTGAATCACATATAAAAGTATGTCTTAAATGTTTTTCAACCAGTTGCCAGGCAGAACCAAAAGCATAATCTATATAAATGTGTTTTCTGGAGATCTACACACCTACACTTCTCTCTTCTTTGGATGTTAGTGCTGTTTTTACAGCTACTGTAATTGCAGACCACAAAACAGTTTTGGTGGTTGAGAGTGAGGAAAATGCCATGACGGCTTTTAGACATTAAGCAAGATTCCTGATATGTTGAATTTTTGTTAAGCCTTCGATAATTTCTAAATAACTGGAAAAGTTAATTTTAATGAATTTTGTCATTTATTTTTGTGCAAAAGTGGATTTGGAGATTTTTGATACATTGTTCTTGAAATACTGTTGTATTATGTTCTTAATTGCCTTAAAATTCCAATAATGGGCATCATATAGCTTGTTGTTGATGTTTCCTAAAAGTGCTTATAAATCTCCATGGTGAAATCATGTTGCTTGAAATTAAAATAACCTGTATTTTAAAATTTGTTTTTATTTTTCCTAACAATAGAGTACTGATTGAGTTTTCTTTTTTTTTAGAATGTGATTTGTTCATTTGTTCCACACCAAATTGGAGTATTTAAAGTGAAGCAAGTGATTGAGATTATCGGCCCAGTGGTAGATGAAAATTTACGGTCATTGTCAATGAAACCATTTCATTATATACATTTAGAATTCAACAGCACTTGCAAAGCTTACACTAAGAAAGTCGGGGTGAAAATTAATCCTGGTATGTTATTGTATTAGCTTTACACAACTCTGATGTAATTGTTGTTGTTAATATAAGAGTATATGTATCAAACAGGGTAAAAAAAAAAGTACTGTCCCCATTTATAAAACATCTATCAAAGTCACCTAGAAGGCCTGTTCAAAGACAGGTCTTATATACTAGTACTGATTATTAAGTAGTTCTCTGTTTATACTAAAGGTTTACATATCTGTCATATTTTCAGTAGATATTGTGCTGATATTTTGAGGTGTTTTATACAGATGCTCAGATATTTTATGGTTTCTATGTTGTATTCTTTCTATAATTTTGTTGGCTTTTAATGTAAACTAGTTTTGAATATATCTAGATTTACTTTGTGCTACAGTTTCATCCAGTCATATATAATTATACCATGTGAACTTGTTTAGTTACATTTGTCTTTAGCTGAAAAATACCTTTCACTTCATATGAATTAATTTAAATCTTTAAATTAGCATGCTTATTGTTAAGCATACAATTTATTAATATTTGTTATTTGCTAAATTATTTTACATAGACCCCTGTATTTTATTAAGTCATTTGTATTTTCTTAATGTGTTTGAGAATTTAGCATGTTAAAATCAATTGCTGTGAAAATTCTATTGCTGTGAAAAGATGCATGACCATGGCAGCTTTAATGAAAGAAAGTATTTAGTTGGGGCTTTCTTACAGTTTCAGAGGTTTGGTCTATTATTATCATGGTAGAAAGCATGATTTATGCAGGCAGACATGGTGATGGAGAAGGAGCTGAGAGTTCTACATGTGGACTGGCAGACCGAAGGGGGGGAAGGAGAGAGAGAGAGAGAGAGAGAGAGAGAGAGAGAGAGAGAGAGAGAGAGAGAGGAGAGAGAGAAGGACGGAAAGAAGCATGGGCACAGGCCCCACATTGTTGGCCTGTAATACCAGCACTGAAAGGCAGAGGCCAGCCCGGTCTGCAGAGCTAGTTCCAGGACAGCCAGGGCTGTACAGAGAAACCTTGTCCTGAAAAACCAGAGAGAGAGAGAGAGAGAGAGAGAGAGAGAGAGAGAGAGAGAGAGGAGAGAGAAAAACACTGGAATTGGCATGAGCATTTGAAATCCTAAAGTTCACTACCAGTGACATACTTCTTTCAACAAGACCACACCTACTTTAAGGCCATACCCCAAATCTCTGTCAATAATATCACTCCATAATGACCAAATATTTAAATCTATGAGCCTATGAGAGCCAATCTTATTCAAATCATTATACCAGTTAACTAGTATATGAAATAATCCTTGGCTAATTTTTGCAAATGTACAATACAAAGGACTAAATACCAACTTACTTTTCAATTTTATTAAAGGGATATCCCCATTGATCAGTAATCCCACAAGACAATTTGTGATCAAAGATTCAGAGAAAAAGGATGATCATCCACCTGTAGCAGCAATGCTCCAGTCAGCCATGACAAACCTTCATAATCATCACTCCAATGATATGTCAGTGAAGGGTGCACTGATTGCCTTTCCTAATGACCGAGCTGCAAGTATCAGGTGTGAAGACCACCATGAACAATTCAGGTAAAATGTAATATTAATAAATTAAAATTCAAAAGGCATAATATCCAAAATAATGGGCAGAGATCTGACAAGATCCTGGCATTAGAAAAGAAAAAGAAAGCTACTGGAGGCAGTAATCCGAATGAAATTATGTTTGTCCTTTTGTATGTCGAGAACAATGGCTGTTGAATTTTAGTGTTTGCCTTATCTAACTTTTTATACACTCTGCTGTGTACTTGTGAGGCAATAGCTGGCATACAAAATAGTTTTCAAAATCATATTAAGAATATGAATATATAAGCGATAGAAATAATCACTATTGGTATTATAATTAGACTCCAAAATAATTATATTTTTAGTTTAATTATGTTTGAATTTATCTGAATAAAACACTTTAACTTGCAAGAAACTAATTAACTGTTATCATTGTCCTTGTTTTCTCACCTCAGAGTCATATTTCTAGTAACTCCTCCCCCACTTGATCTAAAACTTCTCAGGTTTAAGTTCATAAGGAATGTTTAAGCTACAATTTAAATTCATCATAATTCAAGGACATTACTAAGTTAAAGGTGGCAAATACATGACTTTCTGGACCTCAAGATTTTAATATATCCATAAGTAAACAAGGGTTATTTTATGCCAATGTGTATGCTAACAATAGACTAACTAAACTTAATAATAGCCCCGTACTTTTTTTACTTTCTTTATTTTTTGGTGGGTATCATTAAGATCATTTAATTTTGTGCCGACATTCCTACTTTACCATTTGATTCTTCAGTCCACATTTTTGCTATCTATAAAAGAAAAATTCTATGACATTTACTGACTTTCCTGATATTTTAATTTATGAGTTCCTTTCATATCTTTTCTTTGTTTCTGTTTGATCAGTACCATAAAAACAGAACTATAAAAAACCATCCTGACATTTAAAATTGTTATGCATTATGAAAATGCAATTGTATGTTTTCTTCTGGCTCATTACATTGCCTCCAGTACCCTAAGTTGATTGCTTCTGGATACATTTTTGACTTTTTTATGAACCTATTTTCCTATGCAAAGTTACATTTCAATTTCATTTTAACAATTTGATTCTGTGTCTATAGATTAGATCATAAAAATTAACAGAAAAATAAACTTTGCCATTCCTATTATTTAAGTTATATTTAATTCTCTCAATAGAGAGTTTTTTACCTTATCAAATCTAGTAATGTTATCAATTAAATGTTAAAAAATAAACCAAAGAAATTTTATTCCAGTGCATTCACTTTTTGCTAAGAATTAAAATTACTATTTTGTTCTTATGTATTTAACCCTTTTAGTTTTTGGGAAAAAATAATGTAGAGAATTTTGTTTATTGTAATATCCCTTCTGCTCATAACAGTGTTAAGAATGCAGCTGAATATTGGGTTATTATTTCTGGGAGGACTTAAATAAATGCCAATTTATTCCAGATAGCGCTTCAGAAACAGAAAAAAGTAATTCCTTCATAGTTCAAATTTATGACCAAATCAGTGAGTTTGTTAGACTTATTTTCAGAGCACTGTGGAGGGGTTGCTTAACAATAAGTGTGCATGATTGCAAAATAGCTAAATCACTGCAAAGGGTGACTGCAACATGGATAAATGTCATGAAAGTTGTATCATTCAACCTTCCATTAGCTTTTCCCAAGGTTACTTGCATCTGGAGGAGCACAGGAGTATGTAATGGTTGTAGTCCTAGTTGGGGGTCCTATGGTCCTTCTCCCCTTCTACTACTAGGCTATGAACAGCTTCATTACCATAATGATAGATCTAGCTATCACTATACTGTTCTGCTCAATTACTTGTTGTGTGTACCAGGAATAGGTAATTTCTACTCTAAAATGGTGATTGGCTGATCATGTTATACCTGGAAAGAAAATAGCCATACAACCTAGACAACTCAGTAAGTTGTTTTTTAATAAATAAGAGAAATGATTTAGTTACATAATAAATTTTGTTTATTACATATTGGAAAAAAATAGTGCTTACTCCAGACTACAGAAATAATTCTATATGCTTAGTGAACTCCAGAGTTTAAGGAAGTAGTTGTTAGAGCAACAAAGAATCCCTCCTCCAGCAAGTTCCTAAAAAGGAGCCGACAGGAAATTTTCCTTCAGAATGATCTTTATTAGAAGAGAGAACCCAGGATCTGGACTTGAAATGGGAAACCATGAGAAGAGATAGCGGATTTATTTCTTAATGGCAGGGACCTACCATTCACTTCCAGAAAACAAAGAGGATTTCTGTCGTTTAGAGGTTTTCAGCTGGTGAACAAGTTTATCATGCCATTTATCTTAGTCTGGCCTTAGCTTTGGCATGGGTATCATTATACACCTCTTTTGCAACTAAATGTGGGAGTTCCTGTTCGGCTATAGCACAGAGTGATCTTTTAGCAGTTCTGTCGCATAGAGCCACAGTGCTTTTTCCATGATTTTAATTACTGGGAGAGAGCAAACGGTACATAGACGTTATATAATCTATGTTTAGTGAAAAGATTCAGTATTCTCTTTTTCTTCTAATTCTGGTGATAATTTTAAAAGGATGTATACACATATACATATATGTATATAACACACATACAACACATGCACATAGGTATATCTCACCCTTATCCTCTTTTGCATGATGTCTTTGTATACTATAGGATATGTATTTTATCGTACTCACCATGTAATGCACTCCACTTGATATTGAAATTGACCAGTAGGTACTTGGTATCGTCTAATCAAACAGGTATGTGTGCTTGTATGCTTGCACACACACATACACACGTGTGTGTGTGTATTTTAACATGATATGTTGTTCACCTTGTAGAACAATTTTCACAAAGATGCCAAGGCATGTCTATGTGGATCCTGATTATGAATACACTGATTTGGAAAAATTGGAAAGGAAAATGCATCGAGATTACTACACAGACTATATTAACAGTTTAAGAAATAAGCGCCTTCTTAAAGAAGCACTGAGGTAAAGATAGTTTTTTCAAACAATGTGCCTGAAGACCAGATTTGCTTTTCTTCTTAAATGGATTATTTGAATATAAATTTCGGGAGTACAATACAATGATTGGATATAAAGATCAAATCAGGGTATTTGACATTGTCATCATAAATTTATAGTGTTTGATCAATGTAATAATTGAAGATTTTATGAAGGGTAATACGAAATTTCAGGGCATCTATACAATGTATTTGGTTTAAATCAGTGTAGCTAATGCTTCCTTAATTTTCTTGTCATTGCTTTTAGTGCGTTGTTTTCCTACTTACTAGTCTCTACATCTTTTTAGTATTTGTTATAATTTATCTTTTTAATAACAACCATTTCAGTGACATGGGGTGATAATCTGTGTCAGTTTGATTCTTGTTTTTCTGGTGACTGAAGACACTGAGCTTCAGAAAATAAATTTTATTGGCTGTTGACTTTCTTTCTTTTAGAAGTATACATTCATTTCATTTCATTTGTACACAATGTAATTTGATTATTGATTGGGCTGTTATTACGCTTTTTAGTTATGTGTGTATTCTGGATACATCTCATTTCGAATGAAAAATTTGCATATTTTCCCCATTGCAAGAGTGGTTTCTACCTTTTATCATCTTTTTTGCTTTGCAGAAGTTTCTTAGATGGATAACGTCCCGTTTGTCTGTGCTTTGAGTGTTTATCAAAAAATTAGTACAAAAAATCAAATCTGAAGTTCATTTTATGTTTGTATTGATCATTATGGTTCAAATTTATTCTCCATGCTAATATTAAATTTGATTTTTTATGCCTTAGTTTCCTTTTCATTTTGAGTTGTTTTAGTAGCATTTCAATATATATTAAAGGCAAAACATCTAGCTACTTTCGTAACTTTTGGTAGCTTCCTATTTGCAGTTTTCTTAGGTAGTTTTTGCTAGAAGCAGATCCTGAGGTAGGGATTCTATTGTATGTGGTTCACTAAAGCATATTTCCAAGGAAAGCTGTGTAGGATGATGGAGTCAGAACATAACAAGGGAAGAATTGATGTATTTCAAATAAAGTTTGTTCTCAGCCTGATGCCAACATTTCTTGAAGATAAATGATATCATTGTTTCTATCTTGAGCCAAAGAGGCTTTTCTTTTGGTCCAAACCACTCAGTGACTGTGATTTTTTTGAGTGTGACAAAAATATAGGGGTGCCTGTAACTTCTTCTATGAGCTGTTGAAGAAGCGTAGAGGCCACTTAGTGGAGGAAAGTATCTTTCAGATTAGTATGCCAATTCAGTTAAATGGATATGGATAAGCCTATAACAGTGTTTTTCATGGAGGACATTTGCACTTGTTATTGTATTTTGTGAACAACTTTTCCTCAAACAGTGATTATTATTATTTTATCATCATCATTATTTTTATAGGGAACGCAGGTTTCCAGTAAGTGAAGTCGATATAGGCATGCTGCCATCATCTGGTATAAAGTCACCATCATTATCTCAATCAGAAATCAAAGAGATACCTTCATCTTTAAAGACTGTTTCCCTCAGAGCTAAAAGATTGCTAAGCACCAAGAAAATAACATCCAGGGAGACAGAATCTCTGCATAGAAAGGCATGTGCATGTTTTCAAATTTGTTCTGTAGTGAGAATCCTAAAAATAATTCTTACTAATTTTGAATGATTAATTTTGGAAAAACAGATCTCCAGAGGACTTAAATCGAAGCCAACCACTCACCAAGAAAAACGTGACTGCAGCAAAGTTTTGACACCAAAGCAAATCCATCAAGTAATTGTTGGTAAGATTATACAGAAATCTACTACACTCGTGTGTGTGTGTGTGTGTGTGTGTGTGTGTGTGTGTTGGTTTTATTTATATAAAATATTTGATTGCATCCACCCCACCTCAACTCCTTCCAGGTCTTGCTTACATTTCTAACCACCCAATTTTATATTATATTCTCATATTACCTCACTTTTTCTCTATTTTTCTCTCTCTCTTTTCCTTCCTTCCTCTTCCCCCCTCCCTTTCAAAAACAGATTTCAAGATGGTAGAATAGGAAGTCCATGGCTTATTTTACCACACAATATTAACTATGCAGCTGTTCTTGGACAAATGTGTCATTGTGAGAGCTTTGGCCTTCAGTTCCTGTGAAACCCTATTATGCCTAAAGACAGACGAGGATCAATTTTACCTGATAGTTCTGTCAGGCTAACTGATTATAGTCCTAGGTTTAAACAAAAAAATAGCTTTAGCAGCCTCAGCAGCAGTCCCCAATCCCAAATTAGATTTATTCTTGTCATCGAGGCCTATTATACAACATGGTAACTGTAATTTAAAAAGATACACAAAGCTGGGTCGTGATGGCGCACGCCATTAAACCCAGCACTTGGGAGGCAGAGGCAGGCAGATCTCTGAGAGTTCAAGACCAGCCTTGTCTACAATAGCTAGTTCCAGAACAGGCTCAAAAGGTACAAAGAAACCCTGTCTCAAAAAAAAAAAAAAAAAAAAAAAAAAAAAAAAAAAAAAAAAAAAGAAAATGAAGATACATGAATGTTGCTGAGACTGAATTTTTGAATTTTCTTATGCCATTGTACACAGGTACATGAGGTAATGCATATGCTAATTACCATTGTTTAACTATTACATAATGTAGACATAGCTAAAACAGGGAATGGATTGAAGGGAGTGGTGGAAAGGAGGTGGGAGGAGAGAACAAGAAGAGGGGGACATGAAACTATGGTTCGTAGGTAAAATAAATAAAGATTTAATAAAAAAGAGTAAACTAAAATGACACAGTACGACAAATTTAGTATATGGCTAGAGGTAACCCATGAAGAAAAAAATCTATTTTTTTCCTGAAAATATAAAGAACCCAAGACTAGTGAATATATAAGGAGCCAATAAACTATTTAAAAGAGTTGTATTCTCATGAGTAATACACAAAATAAAATTATTTTAGTTTTCTGATTCCTTATATAGTCACATACAAACCAACAATGTAATTTATGTATTCTACTCGTAGGTATTTATTCAAAAGAAATGACGTTGTATTTCAAATCAGTACTTGTTATCTAAAATGTATAGTAACTTTTTAAAAGTAGCTAATAATTAGAAACTAAATATTTATGAATAGGTGAATAAACAAATCCAATTAAAATATATACACAAAGGGAATAGGTCCTAGTTTTATTTTGGTTTTTAGGATTAAAATACCCTGACAAAAGGCACCCTAGGGTAGAAATCTATTTTTAACTCAAAATTCTAGGCTACATTACGCTATTGTGGAGAAGTCAGGATAGCAGGAGCTCAAGACAGCTGGCTACATCAGTGAAGAACAGAGAGAAATGAATGTTTACATGCTTTAGTGTTTAGTATTCTTTCTCTATTCTTATACATTCCACAACTTTAAACCAATGTATGGATCCACCAAGAGTGGTCAGCGATGTCCATACCAATCAAGATGATAAAGATAATTCTTCATAGAAATTTTTTTTTTACTCTTTTGGGGTCTGCCACCCAATTCCCAAATAAATACACTGAGACGTATTCTTACTTATGAATGTCTCACATTAGCTTGACTTGTTTTTAGCCAGTTTTTCTAACTTAAATTAACCCATTTCTCTTTAACTACACTTTACCTTCGAGCTTTTTTCTTTCTTTTATTCTATTCATTATTGCTCTGTGGTTGACTGTGTGACTGGCAGGAAAATCGTGAGTACAAAGTTAGCTTTGGTTATACAGTTGAATATTGTCTCAAAATAAAAAGGAGATTATGTATAATTATTATGCAATATATATATTATACAAAATATATACATTAAATTATAATTAAAGCTTTTGGCTATAGAAGAAACCCTTAGGAAACAAGTTATGGGACTGAAAATAGTGTTTTTAAGAATTAGATATTGGTAAATAAAGTAAATGTATTCATTGGTGAAATGTTGGAGATTAAATTGATGATAAGAATTTTATTGTGATTATTATCTTGCCGTGAAATTTTTCATACTAGAATATTGTCATATTGAACATGAAGCAATAATCTCTAAACATGAAGCTTTGGTATGATCCATAAAAGCATGTTCATGTCTGACATTGTACCAAATAATTTTGTGATATTATACTATATAGTTTTGTGTTAATTTTAGACAATTTATCTTACCAAAATAAAATCTAAAGACATAGAAAATGAAGGAACACCTTTGTAAGAATTTTACTTAATAATCTACTTTGATTATTTCAGGACCATCTGTTCTTAACTTTGGTAATATTTGTGTGAAATCTACAAACACTCAGCTACTTCACATTGTTAACATGTTACCAATGTATATATTGATACAGTTAGATATTAATTTGCAAGAACTTCGGAAAACCAACCAATTTTCCTATGTGATTCCACCTACATCTAGTACATATATTTCGATGGTATTTGAGTCTTCTACCAACGGGAAATTTTGGAAGTAAGGTTTATTTCTCAATTTTTACTTACTGGAGTAATTTATGGTATTAATTTACTTCAATAACTGTAACATAGATTATAATTTATTCCAAAGTATAGGAGGTATATAATATGCCTCATTTTGTATACGTGTATGTTCATATAGTTCAGTGGTAATCTGATTTTCTCCATCATTATTTTCTGAATCAATTATATATGGTAATCTATAGCATATATACTTTATATGTATCTGAAGTCTTTAATTATAAATAGATACTGTGCCATCTGTTAAGTTTGGGAGTTTCTATTCTGTTACAGATCATTTACCTTTAGAATTAACAACATACCTGGTGGACATATCTTAGTAATGGCTGTCATCCTGCCTGTAAAACTTGAACTGTCTTCTAATGAGGTTGTGTTGAAACCCCAAACCTTCTTGTTGAAAACATGTTTTCGGGGGACAGTCAGGCTATATAATCATCTGAATCGTCCTGCCCAATTTGAATGGAAACCAGTAACTGCACTGGGAGGAATTGCATTTAGTATTCGTCCAGCCCAAGGTAATCATATATTTTGTTTTTATTTAGAAATTGATTCATTCACTCCTGAATTCAGGCATTAATAACTTACTGATCACATACTATGTACTTATGACAGTAGCATAGAAGTAAACTTGATATTATCATCAAGAGCAATTATTTTTAAATATGTAAATATGACTTGAAAATAAGGATCCTGTGTTGAAGTTCTAACAGAAGCACATAATAAGAGCTATATAGAGATGAAGATGTTAAATTCTTGGTTAACTATATGGCTTAATAAGTTAGAAATTTACTAGACAAGATGGGAGGATAGATACCCAGAGAAAAAATGATGGTGTAGTGTTTAGATCAAAGGTAAGATTAAATTTTAGGGGTTCTAAAACCTCTAAGGCTGTCAAATTGTTGACTAATATCCACTGACATTAAATGTAATCTGAATATACATTTGCTTATGAAAACTATCATACAATATGAATATGTATCAAATTAGAACATTGTATGACTTAAATTTATACAATTATTTTTCAGTTAATTATTTTAAATCTACTAACTTATTCACATCTGAGTATTGTCAAGTCTGTTATCTTGCTTTGTGTTTGAGCACACAAGTGAGTCCCTCAATCTATACAATGTATAACATTAGCCATTGAAGATACTCCTAAAAAAGTCACTGCTTTTTATATTTTTAGTATAATTATAAGATTATTTAAAGTGACTTATGTTTTCTTAGATTTTGAATTATTTTAAATTAGTTATAGCTAGTCATAAGTACAACTAATAAAATAAATTCAATGCAATTAAAACTGTCATTTCTTAAGAATACTAGTATAAGCCAGTCTGAATTACTGCTTTTGATGAGGCCCTGAAATAGTTACCCATCCATTTAAATTTCATGTACAAAATTTTTTATTATGTAAACTCAGTAACTTCTAAACTGTGATTTATCTAGTAGTCTATCATCTTTTGCAAAAATCATTGTGTTGTGCTGTGAGGACCTTATAAGGACAGAAGGTATAATTTAAAAAGTATATTGAAAGTTACCAGTTGATCAATACTACCTTTTCATTCTATGTGTTTATACTTCTGCAGTGAGATGGGAAGATCTGGATCTTTGCATCTGTACTGACTTACTCTGGTGTTTTATAACCAGCTAAAGTCTAGTGCTCCATGAGTGCCAAGTAAAATAAATAATAAGACTGATCTTAGCTTCTCACTTATTATTATTTTTTTTGTGAGCAATTTCCTCTACGTGTGCTACTTTCTTCACCTACATGTGTACTAGACACAAGAGTTCTTGCTGCTCTTACAGAGCCCTTAGGTTTGGTTCTCAGAACCCACAAGGCCCATCAACTGTCTGTAACTCTCTTTCAAGATGATCTGACACCCTCTCCCAAACTCTGCAGGCTCTTGAATGCATGTGGTATACACACATATATACTCAGGCACACACACACACACACACATAAAATAAATATTTAATATTAAGTGTATATAAAACTATAATTCTCACAAAGGATGGTAAATATAAATCGATAGGTATATGATTGAAAAATTCTTATTTTTGAACTTTTTTATTTGAAAGTATTACCAGCTTATCATATATCTTGATATTTATTTCTATTTTCCACTCCTTTCTCTTCTTTCTTCTTCCTCTAAATTTTCTCCTCAATGTCTTTAGTTATAATTTAGAAACAGTTGTTGTTTTGAATGTAAATTGTTTCTGATTATATAATAGAAATATAATATTTTTTGTGATTACCAGACAGTTTAAAACTGTTCATACTAGAGTGTTATAAATTAATCTTACCATTAAATTTAATTTATTGGTATTGATAAATTTTAAAATTGAAAAAAGAGCTTCCTCTATAATAAGGTTAGACAGAATTCAAGGATAAAGTTGTTGAAGTGTCTTAATAGCCTGGAGTTATTTAGCAAATTTCAGCATAATTTTCTTTTATTGATACTTCTCAAATTCATTTGCAAAAACTGTATTTTAAACTGTAGTATTTGTAACACTGACTTCTACTGAGAAGATAAAGAAGAATGATAACAAATTTCTATTTCAGAGATACTCCATAATCCCTTTCAATTTATTTCTACAAAGATATAACAGTTTTAGATTAGCTATAAGTAGTCTGGCTAAAGGCTTTGATCAATTCTCTGAGTTTTCATTAATGGTGCTTAAAAAGCACAGTGTATTATGCTTTTTCAACTTCTGTTATTTCTATCTTAACTATGACTTAATTGGCTGTCCTCCATGGTTTTGGTGGAAATGCAGTGATGACACATAGTTTGAATAAAATAGAAGTAGAATTGCAAAGTTACAAGTGTCATGCTAGTTAAGTTTTGCATGGTCTTAAGAATTCTTTAGAAAGGAGATATTGGTGTTTGCTTCTTCTGTTTGTCCATGACTTCTTTCATATGTTTTTAGACAAACTAATTATTATAGCGTGCAGATATTAAAATGTTTAATTCTAGATAAAAATTTTATTTAAATAATATAATTAAGTTACTTAAAATATAATTTTTAAAATTGTATTGTCTAAAATTTAAGAAAGCATATAGCATTTGTAATCATATACATGCATTTTAATAATGTTTTCCTCAGAATTTATATGCAGTGATTACTCAGTTTTATATTTTCAGTGTTTACACTTTTATGCAATTTTTATTTGGCCTCTTGTATATCAAATTTAGTCATTTACCCTTATGTCTTTTTTTTTTTAAAGATTTATTTATTATATACATAGTGTTCAGCCTCTATGCCTGCAGGCCAGAAGAGGGCATCAGATCTCATTATAGATGGTTGTGAGCCACCATGTGGTTGCTGGGAATTGAACTCAGGACCTCCAGAAGAGCAGTCAGTGCTCTTAACCTCTGAGCCATCTCTCCAGCCCCTCCTTATGTCGTTTTTTTTTTTTTTTTTTTTTTGTAAAGTGATGTGAATAATGTTATATTAAGATTTGTTCCCAAGACATTGATATTATTTGAGTTGATATTTGGATAGGGAGTATTTTAACAAGGAGAAAGTGAGACTGAAACGATGTTTTCTGAGATAGAGTTCACTTTTAGTTTATTTTTTCTATGTGCTTATTTAGTTTATTGGCTTTTTCTTTGCCAGTACAATGACTCAATACTTAAAATTGTCTTCAGTTAATTCACTTGACTCTTTCTCAGTTTTATTCACTGAGCAACATTCCCCAGCAAATCTCAACTCTCATAATACTTGATTATATGACTTCTTTCGATATTATCTGATATGCACAGTATTCTTAGATACTTAATTGTGTTGATTGGAGGGAGGAATTTTTTTCACATAAATACATCAACATGAATTTGTAATCTTTTTTAAAATCTTATTCCTCTTATTCTGTTGTATCATTGAATCTTAGTTGTTTATTTTACATCACAGCTTTTCCTATCCACTAGTTTCTTAAGTATAACGTGGTGACTTCTTCCTGAACACACCTCTCTGTCTCTTTTCTCATCTCTATCAGGACTTTCTTTTTTTGCTGTTTACTGGCAGTGTGATCTTGACAGACCTTTATACAGCAAACACTTCTAAACCAACTCTTTCATGATTTATGGTTCATTATTACAGTATATTAGCCTCCAAGAATACTGAAAGTCTGCTACTTGGTGCTTTCTGATTATCTCATATTATATCCACCACTTATATTGAGTTTTCATCTTCCCCTAAGGCCATTACAAATTCAGAGGTCAGTTTTCTTTTTTATTTATATAGCATTTTCCCCTTTATTTTATATACCAAACTCAGTTTCCCCTCTCTCCTCTACTCCCATTCCCTCCCCTCCCTGACTCTCATCTACCTCCCACCCCATCCACTCCTCCTCCATAAGAGGTCAGCCTTCTATCTCTTCATTTTCTAAGACTGACAAAGGCAAAGCAAAACAAAAACTTGCACTGCATGCAAGTTAAACCAACCCCAAACTAAATTTGTTTGTAATGGCCCCTCATATCCCCTTTAGTGTCCTGTGTCCTCAAACTTCAGAGACTCCTTTCTTCCTGAGGACTATTGTCAAACTAATTTTTCCATCTGGTATTCTTGTTTTTTTGATTAAATTATTCATTTTTGTTAGTTACTTTTATGTCCTTGGCAAATTTTGTCATTTTACAAAGTTCCAACTCATCCATGCTTCATGTTAAAACTCACATGCAATACAATGAAGTTTTCTCTATTTTCTTGGAATACTTCACATTTCCCCTCATACCTTCTGCTCTCATTTTGAACTTTTATTCATCATTTCCTTTTGAAATTATGAATATCATTTTATACCTAATGTTTCTGATATCACATGGTCTCTCTTATGTCATTACTTTTAACTCCATCAGAAGTTAATCTCTAAAATCTATAATAGTAAGTCTTCCTTCTGAAAGTGTAATAATTGTTTATATTGATAATTACTTCAGAATATTGAGAAATTAGAGGAGATAATTTTGTCAGGGTTCACAAAAAAAATTCTATTGTCTGTATATCTCTAATGCTAATGTTAATTGCTGTGATAAACATTCTGTTGTTTTTCAAACATTGGCATATTTTGGTATACATTTCTATTTTAACCTATGATCAAATTGATTTTAACAAAATCTAGGACTGTGTTCATTTAATAATGTGTCACTTATAATGTGTCTGTTATTTAAATATAGTTTTAGTTATATAATGCCTTCATATTTTACACTATTTATCCTAAATATTTACAAAATTAAAAATGAAAATATCTTGTCTTATTTTATCTTTTTCTTTGTAGGTGTTGTTGATCCTTATTGCTCATTGGAATGTGAAGTCACCTGGCAGCCAGGTTTTAGTTCTCCGGAGAAGGGAGAATTTATACTTGAAGTCTCTGGAGGAAATACTCTGACACTGAAGTGTACTGCACATGTAATTATTTCTCTTTTTAATTTTTTTAAAAAAGAAAACAATCTTTCATTTTACATACCAATCCAGGTTACCACTTGCTCTTCTCCCATTCCCTCCACGTACCCTTTCATCTACTCATCACAAGAATAAGGCAAATTGCTTTGAAGAAGGACCAAGGCCCTCTCTACTATATCCTGTACTGTCACACTGGGCAAAACACTTGAATTACTTAACAAATATTCAGCAGGCTTGGTGGTGCAGGCATATAGTCCCAGATACTTTATGTTGGGGCAGACAACTTGTTTGTTTCCCAGCTGCTGAGACATGAAATAATAACATTGAAATTATATTAATTACAATACTGCTTGGCTAATGACTCTAGCATACTCCTAGTTAGCTCTTATATCTTAAATTAACCCATTTCTTTTATTTTGTTTTTGCAACTAGGTTGCAGCCTACCAGTAAAGTTCTGGTGTCTGTCTCCTGCAGCAGCTACATGGCTTCTCTCTAACTCTGTATACTCTCTCCTCCTCTATTTGCTTACAATTCCTGCCTTTCCCTATTCTGCACTGCAATAGGCCCAAAGCAGCTTCTTTATTAACCAATGGTATTCATAGCATACAGAGGGGAATCCCACATCAAACTTAGATACTGAGATACAAGGTCATAATATGTTAGAGACCTGCTCTGGCTAAAAAGTGAGTTCATGATTTATTGTTTTATGATGTAAGCTTTTAGGTTCTTGCTCCTGCTGTCAAGCCTAATTGTTGCCATGACACACACCGTGATTAACTCCTATCCCTTTGGAATCCTAGCCAAATAAACTCTTCCTTCTTTAAGTTGCCATGGGTATGGTGTTTGATCAAGAGGCAGAAAAGAAACTAATAAGACCCATCTTCTTGTATTTGGGGCATAAATGTTCAGGATTTAGGCTTCATCTTGATGGATTGTTCCTGACATGAATATGAAGTGTCCTCCATCTCTTCTGACTAATTTTATTTTGAAGTCTATTTTGTTAGATATAAGATAGCTATACCCGCTTGTGTTCTTAGGCCCATTTGATAGGAAGATCTTTTCTCAATCCTTTACTCTGAAGTAATGTCTATCTTTGAGGTTGAGTTGTGTTTTTTTTTTTTTAATACAGCAGAAGGATGGATCCTGCTTTCATATCCATTCAATTAGTCTGTTTCTTTTTATAGGTGAATTGAGTCCATTGATATTAAGAGATATTAATGACCAGTGATTGTTAATTCCTGTTATTTTTTTGGTGGTAGTGTTTGCGTGATTCCTTTCTTTGGGGTTTGCTGGTAGAGGTTATCTGTTGCTGGTGTTTTTGTGGGCGAAGCTAACTTCCTTGGGTTGGAGGTTTTTTTTTTTTGGGTAAAAGGTTTTAATCTTTTTTTTTTTTTTTTTTAGTACTTTTTGTAGGGTTGGATTTGTGGATAGGTATTGTTTAAATCTGGTTTTGTCGTGGAATATCTTGATTTCTCCATCGAGGGTGATTGAAATCTTTGCTGGTTATAACTGTCTGGGCTTGCATCTGTGGCCTCTTAGTGTCTGCAGAACACCTGTACTGGACCTTCTGTCTTTTATGGTTTATTGGGAAGTCGGTTGTAATTCTGATAGGTCTGCCTGTATCTGTTACTTGACCTTTTTTTTTTTCATTGCAGTTCTTAATATTCTTACTTTATTCTGTATGTTTTCTGTTTTGATTCTTATATGATGATCAAACATTTTTCCCCCCCGTTGGTCAAGTCTATTTGGTGTTCTGTAAGCTTCTTTTTTTTTTTTTTTTTTTTTTTTTTTTTTTTTTTTTTTTTTTTTTTTTTTTTTTTTTTTTTTTTTTCTGTAAGCTTCTTTTACCTTCATACAGATATCCTTCTTTAGGATGGGAAAGTTTCCTTCTATGATTTTTGTTGAATATATTTTCTGTGCCTTTGAGGTGAACTTCTTCTTCTGTTTATTATTCTTAGGTTTGGTCTTTACTAGGTGTCCTAGATTTCCTGGATGTTTTGTGTTAAGAATTTTTTGGATTTAACATTTTCTTTGACCAATGAATCTATTTTCTCTATTGTATCTTCATCATCAGAGATCCTCACCTCCGTCTCTTGTATTCTTTTAGCTATGCTTGCCGCTGTAGTTCCCGTCGTTTATCCAGATTTTCTATATCCAAAATTCCCTCGGTTTGTGTTTTCTTTATTGTCTCTATTTTAGTCTTCAAGTCTTGAACTTTTTGAACTGTTTGCTTTACCTGTTTGATTATTTTTTCTTGATTTTCTTTGAGAGATTTATTGTTTTCTTCCAATTGTTTGTTTTTTTTTCCATTTGTTTAAGGGAATTTTTCATTTCCTCTTTAGACATCTCCATCATCCTCATAAAATTACGTTTAAGATCGTTGTCTTTTGCTTCTTCTGGGTTAGGATGATCAAGTCTTCCCATTGCTGATCACTAGATTCATGTATTACCATGTTCCTTTTTAGGTTGTTGGATGAATTTTTGCATTGGCACCTACACATCTATTCCTCCAATTGGTGCTGGCAATGTCTTTGCCTTTTGGTTCAATCCTTGCAGTGGCTATCTGTGTCTTTGAGAATTGTTCTTGGTCTGCTCTGTAATGTTGCTGTGTCCTAGGTAGCCTCTGTTATCTATCTTAGCCTGCTTTCTTGGTCCACTATGAATCTGCTCTCTTTGTTAGTTCTCTTGGTCCACCCTGTGCTGTCATAGCCTGTGCTTAAGAATGGCACTGGGTTTTGATCCTACTGCACGTACTGGCTTTGTGGCGGGGAAGAGACAGAAATCTTTAATAAATAAATAAATAAATAATTAAATAATTAAATAAATAAATGTAAACAAAACTAAAACAAAGTTCCTCTTAGGTAGTGGGGAGAGAGGAAGGTTTGGGGGCAGAGTGGAACTTGTAGCTTACAGAGTCTGATCAATGAGATGGAATTGTTGGAGCAGCCTACCTGCAGTTAGCTTGCTTGCTGCCTGGCTAGAGAAATCTGAAGCAGGTATGGGAGGGTGCATGGGGTTTTGCCAAGGTATGGAAGGCCTAGAGAGTGGGGTGCCCTGCTGGATGGGTGATCATTCATCTTTTGGTTCTCTCTGTATAGTCAGAGCCTTTGCTTCAGAGTTCCTCTGAGGTCACGTGCATAGGAGGGCTTCGGAGTGGAGTGGTACTTGTAGCTTACAGGATCCAATCGATGGGATGGGGGTGTTGGAGCCTGTAATTATTTCTCTTGAATGTGATTTTTATCTTTTTCATTACAAATTATATGGCTATACAGTTGTTTTGACTTATAAATACATGTAAAAATTAAATTAATGTAATAACTATTTTAGCTAGTTCATAGAACTACTTGCCTATTATGAATGAGGAACTAGCTCAGATATCCAAGAACTTTGTGGAAATAATACTATTTTGCCAGAGGCTCTATAAATATGTAGTAGCATCATGGAAGTCACTTGAGAGTCACTTATTCATTATCAAACAATATACAGTATAATAGAGAAAATTCTATTATATTTATATTATTTTTCCTACAATCACTGTTAATCTTCAAGTACTAGTTAGTAATTTAGTATGGAAAAGATCATGTAACTTACATAAAAAGAAACTAGGTTTTTTTTTAACTATAGAATATGTTTTTTACAATAAAAATGAAAGATGTGATGTATAACTAAGTCTCTTTCCACAGTATAACCAATGATGCTCTAACAACACGTCTTTTGGTAACCAAGAATGCATTTTGTTTATGATTCCAGCCAATGCTGTTAGAAATTTTAAACAACCCAAGTACTTTCACTGAATTCTATATTTTATGAACATAGTGATCTCCTGTGTTTCATCTATGAAGGTGCTTGTAGCTTATACATATGAAACTCACCATTTTAGGGATTGCGAGTGAGTCTCAGGACACAGTCGGGTCTTCCCTCAAATCCAAGCTTAAAATAAGCGGACTCCTCCTAAGTTTGTATATAAATCCCATATTCTGAAACTTTTTCTTAAAGTAAAACACACATACATATATGTACAGATAATAAAAGTATATATCATTCATCTTTGCAAAGTGATGCCTAGATCAAGAAATAGAATATGATGGGCATAACACAATAACAGCCTTTTCCCCGGGCCACATTTCCCATAACCATATACCTCCCAAGGTTATTGCTTTCTTCATTTATGATAAATTAATTATGGCCTAAAATTTATGTCCACATAGTCAAACTGCATTATTGCATGTATGCCTTCCTGTTATAATTAGGTTTGTAGCGCTAGTCTTTGCTGACACATTTGTTTGTAGATTACTCATTGTCCTCTTTGAAGAGTATTGGATTTGGGTGAATGTATTGTCACTTATGTTTACATAGCTAATTGGAAAATGTGTTCTTATAAATGTTTAATGTATTTCATTTCCATTATTGAAACTCTCTTTTAGTGAACAGATGCACAGTATTTATCTGTTTATGTAATTCTATCTAACAAGTTTAATATTGTACTTTTGCTCACATAGTCGACCTATGCCTATTTTTTACTAACATACAAAAATGACTAATTAAATATTATGGATTTGGCATTAAAGTAGATACTATTTATTGAGCAGCTACTATGTGTCAAGTGCCATGCTAAGTTGTGTTTACTGCCTCATCCTTACAAAATTCTGAGGCATTTAATGTATATATTTATATACGTTGTTAGTGGTGAAGAATTGAAAGACTGTGGTGTTAAGTAATTAATAAAAGTTCACAAATGGTTTATTCCAGATCTAACTGCCTCCACAGACTTTAATGTCACCCTTATTACTGAGATTTGTTTTATCTATTTCCTACCCCATGAGTGAATACGAATGAAATAACCAAACTATTAAATAAAAAAAAAACCTATGGGAAATTAGATAAGTAAATAAAAGATAATTAATAGCAAATTGGGTCATTTCAGGTAAAACTTTTCAAGCTTACTCTGGAGAAAACAAGATGGAGGAACATTGAATGTTTAAATAAAGTGATAATTAATATTTATCATATAGCTATAAAAATCTCATTTACTTTTATTTCTGTTTTAGGTTAGTTTGAAAGTTTATTATTCCACTTACAAAAACTATGTTTTAAAATAATTTTAAGAATGTACTAAAACCTTATATAACACTTTGTAATGCTATTATAAAGTCTAATGCAAAGTATACTCAACTCAATATTACTTGTACAAAATGTATTATAGTTATAGTTGGTGCCTGATTATTTACCTTTACTGTAAACTTGCAAAATGGCCATATATGAAAATATTATATGATTTCTTAATTCTGTGAAATGTGTTAATTGGAAGGAGGAGGAAAATTCCTGTGCCCATTCTCATGTAGGCCAAGTGCACATTATCTGTGTATTAAACGAAGCATGTCTGGGTGATTTCATTTTTAGTAACTTGTTTCCTGTGTTTAGATGACCTTTGAATTCTGTAGTGTAGCACAATAACATGTTGTACATAGCTGACCTAATGAGAGCCGAGAGCCTCTCAGTAATTTGTCAGAGATTCAATACATTTTTTAGACTAGGCATCACCTGTGACATAGGGGATAGTGTCACTCTTCCCTCCATAAATTTGGATCATATTGTGTGTGTGTGTGTGTGTGTGTGTGTGTGTGTGTGTGTTGTGGTGTGACTGTGGATCACACCCAGGGCTTCACACAAGTTAGAGAAGTATTCTACCAGTAAATTATTGACCACCAGCACTTTGATGGAATAATATTTAGATATTGTATTCTAATTTTCTTTGTATTAATTCATCAGTATCTACTTACCTTTTATATTTTTAAATCCTCCTTAAAGTTAAATTTACAGTTATATGAATATATTTTTGTTACTTCTCTCATTACTTTTTTCTCTTTTCCAATGAGGAATATATTCCTCATATTTCTTTCTTTCTCATATTATGACCTTTCCAAGCTATAAACAGAACACATGAGATCAATTCTTAAAATTATCTATTTATAGGTTTAAATGTGTATATGTATAGACACATGTATATGTACATATGTAGAGAGCTGATAAATATTGTTTACATTTACTTTTTTTAAGCTAATAATTTGAATTGTTTTATTTGCTATTATTTTGATAATTTATCTCTTTCTTCCTTTTATTACCAGGTTGGACATACTAAAGTCACCTTTTTAGAGCCAAGAATACTGTTCAGTAATAGTCCTCAAGGTTTAACTACTTGGAGGAAAGCCATTCTTCACAATATAGGGCAAAATCATGCTTATTTTAAGGTAATGCAGAATTCTTGTCTCTTCTTATTTGGATCAAATCATTTGATTTGAATCAATTTGTTCCAAATATAGTGTAAAGGTAGTACTTTACTATGTAGAAATGGATTCAAAGCAGTGATCAAGTTATTATAAGTAGATTTTCTGAATACATTTTGTCAAGTTTGTTCCACTTTCCCAATTTATAATTTTCCTTTTTTTCGTATCATTTGATTTTATTAAAAGAAAAAAGCAAACAATGTTTTAAATATAATTACTTAGTAATGTTATGCTGCATAGTCAACTATGCTTTTTCTTTTCTCTTCACTTTGTAACCACGACTGTCATAGTAGCAACAAGGACTAGATGGAAGTAATTAGTTGTAGTTCAAATGATATAGTCAAATCCTATTGCAAAATCACCTCATGTCTTATGCTCAGTGATCCTCTTTGTAGGTAGTACTATAGATGTTTCTCTGTAAAGTTTTGATATAATTCCTTTGTAAACAGTCTAGCAACTTATCAATTTTTAATTACAGGTTTGTGATCAAAGCCTTTTGCCTACCATTAATATTGTTCCATCAGAAGGAATAATCCCATTTGGGGGAATAACTGTTCTTAATATCTCCTCTACACCCACTGTGGCAGAAAAATTTGATACGAGAGCAAAGGTATATTTGTTCATTCTTTCTCTTTGCATTTGTATATGTAAGTGTATATATATTTACATACATGTGTCTATGTATATATATGTAATATTTTATAAATATTTACAATAATGAGAACATTATAAAATAATTATGTTTGTTATTAGAAAATGTACTTATTTAATCAATAATTAATGAAATTTTGAAGTATAATACTATGTAAATTAATTTTTTAAAATTTTAATTAAACTAAATATGTAGGTTTTAGAGATCTAAAAGTAGCAACTATACCTAAGTTATATATAAAAAAAAAAACAATTGATAACAGCACTTGGAGAGAAGTTTCTGAAATTTTTTTTTTTTAGAAATCTGGTAGCTGACGTTTCCTCTAAGTTGAAATGAAAGCTACCAATCACCATGGGGCACTTTGACATAAAAATTGAAAGATTTGACACATCCTCACTGTTCTCATAAAAACAGATGAATTTTTCTCCATGGCGTTAGGGGAATTAGGAAAAAGTAGTAATGGGATTGCAGTGGACATTCAGATCCTCTGGCTCTCAGCATCTTTCTCTTGCCTCTACCATGATGTTCCCTGGGCCTTTGGTGTAAGGGTTGTGTTGCTTATAGACATCCATGGTCAGTTTTTTCTATATTTTAAACAGTTATAAATTTCCAGCATAGTCTACATCATCTCCTACAAAATAGCTTTTTAAAATGAAGGGTGAAATATATTTGTCTCTGAGTTTGAGCCTAAACATTTAGAATGCACTTTGAATTGTTCTGGGTTAGGAAAGTGACCATAGTGGGTTGTTCTCTAGAGTCTATGACATTTCCATATTAAGTGGGTCTTAAGTCGGTCACTCCTGATACAATAGTACCGCTGTGCACTACTGAGGATATTTCCAGTCAGGCCATTGTGGTGTGTAGGCATCACAGCTGGGTAGGACTGCTGTTTGCTTCTCCTCTTTTTGCAGCTTGTATAGCACCTTGCAATAAGTATGAGAGCTAGTCCCCAGGCTTCCTGGTCAGGTCCAGCTGAATTCCTTTAGTGCTATAACTAAAATGTGCGGTATCTTCAGCAACCAAATCTTACTGTCAAGTTTTGGGAGGCAACCATGTTGTTTTTGAAGTTTTGTAGACTCTTTTCAACAACAACTCAAAGGGAATTTTACCCTGCTTGGATCTAGGTTTCTGTTATATTGTCTTTGTTTCCTGAGGAGAGCATTTCCATTATCATATATGTAATATAGATGACTATATATATATATCATGTATGTAATAATCTGTATGAGAATATGTATATGTATATTACACATATATATTTGTGTGTGGATGTATAATATGTGAACCTTAATGCACATATGTAAAATGTTTCTTTATGACTTTTTCAAACAGTGTTATTTACCGCTGCTCTTTCCTTCCCTCTGTATTGCCCACTCCCTGCCCTAGTTAGAAACCACCTTCTAAGTTTTCCATTTTCTCCTTCAGAGCACCTTTGTTCTTGTCTCTCTCTCCCTAGACAGAACTCCTTGCCCCTTTCCCCTACTCCTGAATGGTCTCATTAGACTTTCCTGTTCTTTGAAGTTATTTGATTTTTGTTTACTATCTTAATCTTCTTGTTGAAGGCTCAATAGTCAGGCAGGCTAGAGGTCAGGTTTAATTATGCTGGCATTCGAATTTATGGACCCCCAAAGACAAAACATTGGCCCTTCGGAATGTTAGTTTTCTGTACTTTGAAATTAAGTTTCTTGAGAGAGTTATGCCATAGTATACAAATTTTTAAAAAGAAGATAGTATAATTAAATACTACATTAGTTCTAAACAATACTTTTGACTTGTAGTCATGGATACTTTGTCTATTAGCATATTTCTATGGACCAAAGTATTTATCATTCAACCATACTTTTGTTATTTTGAGTAATCTGTTGTAATTAGATAAGAAAAAATGAGTTACAGAGAATTATAGTCAGGTCTAGTCAAATACACATTACTCTCCCATTCAAATTCATAAGCTATTTGATTTCTAATGGTTGAACACTAAGTTTACAAGCAGTATCAACTTGCCAAAGAAGAAAAGTGCTAATAACTGTCATAATAAATAAGAATATGTGTATACATATACATTCACACACATATAATTTGCATTATAAAGTGCCATATGAGGGGACGTGGGAATTTTTATCTATATATGACTATATTTTAATGTAATTTTTATAAGATTTTCTATTTCTTTTAAATAAGGTTGCTATTCATCGTGCAAATGTTATAGATCTTAGGATTGGTGGATCTGTTGAAATTGCTGATGTTGAAATCTTACCTGTGAGTATGCCCCTTGCTCCTTTGCTCAATTTACGGGTGTGATGGTGACGTGCCCCTAGTCAGTCCAGTTATGTTTATAGATACTTTTCTGTGTAGTAATTTTACATATATTAGTTAATACATGTAATATAAATGTAACTGATGAAGCAGAATACTAAAATTTTTAAGAATTAAACACTGAACTTAGGTGTGAGAAAACTGTCAGTAGTATTAAAATGGTTTCATTATATTCTCTTCCTTCATAAGAGATGATCCTTCACCTATAGCCATCTGAAGTATTGGTTTAATTTGTCTGGATTTAGGTTTTATGACAAAAAAGTTTTAGTTGTCTTTAATTGAATATTGTGTTTCCAATATTGATTTAGGTTGTATTAAACTACTGTTTTTTTTATCACTGTTGCATAAAGATTATTTACATGAACATACTATAATTAGTCTTCATTTCATTGTTCTTCCATCTATTTATTTCTGGCTCTTGTTGTAACCGCTGTTACCATGTCAGGTCATATTAGGTACAAAGCTTCCTGGAATGTAGTATTTGTTCATGAATTTCTTCACAAGACAATTCCCTTTTTTGCATTCTTTTATTCCCTGCTTATTTGGTTTTTTTTATAAAATTTATTTCTTTTATGTGTATGAGTGACCTATCCACATGTATGACCTTATCCCAGAACAGGGCATCAGATCCCACTATAGATGATTGTGAGCCACCATGTGGTTGCTGGGAATTTAATTCAGGATCTCTAGAAGAGCAGCCAGTGCTTTTATCTGCTGGACCATCTCTCCAGCCCCCACGATATAATTTCTAAAATATCATTATACTTTCATTTCTATTGCTCCATTTTTCAGTGTGCCATAAGTTGTATTATGAGATGTAAAAGGTTCATCTAATTAGTATATCTAATAAGTATAGATTCCTCATATAGTCTTAATTTTAATTTTATGACCTATACTGACATCACTTTTTCAAATTATTATCTATACATAAATAGTACCTGTTCTACAATTGATAGTGTGCATACTTACTGACACACATATATTCACACAGACAAACACACAGGTGTACATATACACGTACATATACACACCTTTTTATTTTTTAAAATGAGCTCCAAAGGATATGTTCTGATCCATTTACCCAAAGAAGCCTTTATTAGGCATTCAAAAGAGCCCTTCATATTCTTCTATTGTGACATTTGTAAGATATTATCAACTTCTTATACTCAGATAGCCCTTTCACCATAAGCTATTATCCTATTATTTTAGATTATTTGTAACTTTTTTTCTTGCAATTGTTCCCCCATTACTTGGTGCCATTGTGATGCTAAGTTATAAAATACATTGATTATGTAGCTTAACTGGCTGCCACAGTACCTCAGTGTCAGTCTGTACTTTAATTGTACAACAAAAATCCAATGTCAGGCTTTAGTTTCTGATTCCTATTGTTTGTTCAGTGATAAAAGCCTCTTTGGACTGGAGAGGGAGGGGGAGAGGAGTGGGGGGAGGGGGAGAGGAGTGAGAGGAGGGAGAGGTAAATGGGAGGCTGGGAGGAGGCGGAAACTTTTTTCAATAAAAAATAAAAATAAATAAAAAAAAAAAGCCTGAGATACATAGATCAACAGGCATCCAGCTTATTTAAAACTGTGATGATTATTGAAGATGAAGAGCTGGAGGGGATGGGCCCAAGAAAACAAGGGCTTCTAAATCAACATGATCAACATAGAACTCACAGAGACAAAGACAGCATGCACAATGAGGGCCTGCCTTGTTCTGCAGCAGGTCCTTTGCATATGTATCTTGGCTTCCAGTTTGTTGATTTTATTACATTCTTTTTTGTGTGAACAAGTGGACCTCTGTTTTTTGGGCTTGTTCTTAGGCTTTTTTTTTTTTAGATTTTTTTTTCTGAATTTAAATTTTTTTTTTTT